AGCAGAGTGATTTCTGCCATTGGGTTCTCTTCACTCTTACAGTGGATGGTTGCATTTTCCCCCAGGGCAATTATTTCATGCGAACTCACTGAAATGGAAGGTTTGGGATAGAAATGCTCTGAATGGGAAAGAGAAGAAGAGGGATGTTTAAGGGCTGGTGCAACTCCAACATTCAGCAGAAGGCAGAACTACAATCTTCTAGGAATGTAATACAGAAAGAGAATGAGAGATATGTTAGGCAATGCATCATTTCCTTCTGGTTGAAGATGCAATAAATTTGACCTCCACTTTAGTATCATTTGTGAATCTGGCACACCAAGACGGAGCTGAGCCCTCACCTGTTATGTTGACGTGAACTCTGTCGCTGGAACCCGAGCATTTTCGAACTTGGTCTTGACTGAAGCAATATGAACACCAGTAGATCCCTCCATCTGTTTGCTTGGCATTAGGAATGAGAAATGCAGGACTTAATGAATCAGTCCTAGAAAACAAATGCCCCGGAGTCCCTTCCTTGAAGAGATAGAAAGTTGCTTGTTCACGGTATTCATTTCTACGATATTCATTTGTACAGTGGATGTAGAATTGTGTCCCTGGGATGACAAGAGGACTGGGACTCACAGAGATGGAAGGCTTTGGAGAAAGGTCTCCTGGAAAAGAAAGAGGGCTGATATTCAGAAGGTGGAACATCTGCAACTGTGTCACTCTGTAAAATAGGAAACTTGCTCTTGGAATATCTGCTCACCTGGGACAGAGAAGATGAGTGGCAATGCCATGTGCAACGGCCTGACTCTTGTCGCATTTGGCAAGAAGGGAGGGGGCATTCTGGCAGGAACGGAAGTGGGGGGCGTGCAAGGAGTGGCACATTCCCATTTTGCCTCAAATGGTGACACAGGATGGCCCCCTCCTGTCTTTCTGCAACACCCATGTGCTCCATTGGGTTGTCTGCAGAGACATTCCCACCTAGACATATGTAACCAGTCACAATCACACAGAGTCCTTACATGTGTGTCCACACACTGGATTCTCTGCAGACAACCACATGTAACATGTGATTGTTGCCTGAAGGAGTAGGGACATTAGGGTTAGGGCTTAAAACGAGAAACTGCTTTGCTTTCAACGTAACTATGCCCTGCACATGAATAGGTCTAAGGACAGAGCAAAACTCTCACCTCTTATGTTGACATAAACTTTATCGCTGAATTCTGAGCATTTATTTTCATAAAAGCAATATTTGCACTTGTAGAACCCGCCATTGGGTTCTACATGTTTGGCATTAGAAAGGGGGAAATCTGTATAATGTGAGGCAGTCTTAGAATCCACAGCCGCTGAACTCCCTTCCTTGACAAGAAAGAAGGTTGCTTCTGAGTTATGTTCAGTCTCACAGTGGATATAGATATCTTCACCTAGGATGACCTGAGGACTTGGTCTCACTGAGATGGAAGGCTTCCGATAAAGCTGTCCTGGGAAAGAAAGATAACAGGAGTGAGATTTGGAAGGCAGAGCAGTAGTAATGGGAGACTTGTAGTAGACTTGTATCAGGGTACCAAAATCCACAAAAGTGTGGTACGTATATTAATCAGTAACATTTTCCAATTGACATATATCTATATTTTCACATATTCCTCATCACCATCCTGTTTTCTAAAGAAGTAGGAATCATATTTTGAACTGAGCAACAGCTGTAGGGCCAACAATATAGCCTTCAACCAATGACTCACTTCTGAGATAGCAGAGAGAGGGGGAGGGCTCTTTAACTTCCCCTTCCCTGTTGACATTGGAGGAGGACAGGGAGGAGAGGAAGTGGAAGAGTCCAGAACCTAAGGTCCTTTATGTCACTTGGTTGCTCACTCTCCTGCATAAGCCAAGACACAGGAGACAGGCAGCACAGTGCCAGTTGCGATTCATGCAGCCAGGAGGCAATGAAAGAGAAGGTTCTCCCTTAGTATCTAGTGATGTTTACAGTGGGAGGGGCAAGACTAAGGATCCCTGTGTCTAAACAGACCTTGCACCCAAGAGAAATAAACTGAAGTGGATAACTGGGAGGACGGTTTCCTTGACAGGTTGTCTAGAGACAAATAAATAAGGGCAGTTCAACTTTTCTAGAAAAAGAGGTACCGGAAATCACCATGAAAGCCTCCCTTGTTCTCTGATAATGGCAACTGCCCCCACCTAAAAGATGCCGGAACTGAGTTCCGACTGGAAAAAAGCCTTGAATATGAGACAGATAAAGTCTACCATGAGAAAAGTAGTCCTGGTTGGAGGAGTCTTCGGCATTTAGTTCCCATTCTTCTCACCCCCTATTTTTTATCACCATTCTCACGGCTGACTGACACTCACCTCTGGAGATCTGCCACTGCCTGGTCAGCCAACACCCTGGAAAGGAGAGGATCCATTTAGAGTCCAGATATCTGAGCAACAGAAATGGAAGCCGGGCCTCCAATCTCCCAGACCTGCTCTTGCAAACACTCTGATCCCACTGCGCTCCAAGGAGTGATACCAACCTAGAAAGAGGATGCTGGAAGGGAATTTCATGGCTTGGCTTCTGTAGCCAGATGTTTGTTCTGTTTGCTCCTTATTCTGCTGTCTCCCAAGTGAAGGTCTCAGCTGGAGGCTGTTGCCACTGAAACCCAGCAATGTTCTGTGATGCAGCTCTTCCCCAGAACAAATGACTCCTCTCTGATCGGCCAGTGCTGTTGTCCTTCTTCCGTTCCCATGGCTGCCTGACCAAACACATCCCTTATTACAGTAGTTTGCATCTATCTGATGGTTGCAAAACCAGAGGAAGTGAAGGGCTGAGTGTTTGGCATGGAACACAACTCCTATTTTTAATTTTTCTAGGTCTCAGAGAGAGAGAGCATGTCAGCAGTATTGTTGGGGCAAAAGAAATCTAGTATGCCCAGTTGTACACCATGGCAAATTCAAGCTCTGGTCACTTACTGCCTCCTCCCCAAAGATATTGTGCCTATGCTGTCACTTTGGACCCTGTTGATCAAAAAAACACATTTAAGGAACAATTAGGAGACCTGGTGGTGTGTCCCTCTGTACAGACTCAGAGATACATAGTGAGTGAGTTGTTAGTTTAAGCTCCACAGAGGCATTGGGACTGCAGTTATGATGGCTCCCCACTGCAGAGGAATGATCAGCTCTCAAATACTTATTTCTGTCTTACTCTGATGCTGTCCTAGGCCCAGCTCTGACATTCATGGTTTTCTTCTATATAAAAGAACCGCAGCAAGCCTCAGGCTCTTGTGCCTCCTCCAGTGTGGTGTAGTGGTTAAGAGCGGTAGACTCGTAATCTGGGGAACCAGGTTCTCCGCTCCTCCACATGCAGCTGCTGGGTGACCTTGGGCTAGTCACACTTCTCCGAAGTCTCTCAGCCCCACTCACCTCACAGAGTGTTTGTTGTGGGGGAGGAAGGAAAAGGAGAACGTTAGCCACTTTGAGACTCCTTCGGGTAGTGATAAAGCGGGATATCAAATCCAAACTCCTCTTCTTCTTTTGTCAGGTAGGATATTAGAAGCTTCCATTCCATTTGGATTAACCAGAGTTCTCCCTGACTTCCAAATCATGGTTTGATTGTAGTGAAATCTTTCCATTAAAATAAAATGAAAGTCAAATTTTAATCTACTTCCTTCAATTTTTCTCCGTTAACAAAAGTAGAAGGTTACTGAGAGACCTCAGACTTAGCAAAGCAAGGAGCTCAGGAAGCTGCCTCAGAATGAGTGAGTCAGTTGGTCCATTGAGCCCAGTATTGTCTGCAATGACTGACAGCAGCTCTGCAGGATTTCAGGCAAGATTCTTTCAGTATTGTACTTGGAGATGTCAGGAATTGAACCGGGAATCTTCTGCATGCAAAACGGATGCTCTGCTACCAAGCTACACTTGTTCTGCATTAGAAAGGCAGGCAGTCCCTTCCCTTGAAGTTAACGGTGACAACCACTGTGTGCAACATCTGACTCTGTGCACTGCTCCATTTCCTCCAAAAGCAGGAGAAACAGAAGTGATACAAGGGGGCTCTGCAGAGCTCCTCTTTCTACAAAGTAAGGGTCTATAAATAATCTTTCATTGCAGGCTGAGCGGACGATGAGGCAGGCTCCCTGGAACTCCTCTGAGAATGACGTCATGTCAGGAGTGGCCTGAGATGTTTTGATGCCTGAAGCCAAATATTGTGCAGCGGCACTGTAATAACAGGGCAGGGCATCAGGTTATCTCAGAGACTCTGAGAGAGGGAGGTAGTATTCCGCAGAGCTTTGACAATGGTCTCTCTCCACCCCGTCCCTAAAATAGCACCCCACAATAGCTTTGGACATTTCCACCCTTCCTATAAACCCTGCCCCCTGCCTTTGCCACCCTTGAATTAAACTAGGGATCTTTCATTTCCTTCAGGGGATATGCACTAGCATTCTTCCATGCTGGCTCCACACAACAGTCTTCCGCTCTCATACCCCGAAAATCCTCTCATTTCCCCCGCTGGATTTCAGGAGCTGCTTTCTCACTGAGGATGGGCATTGTGGAGTTTGCTACTCCTGCCCAATCACAGTTCAAAGCAACAGAAAAGCAATTACCTAACTCACAGTCACATTGGTTTTAGATGGACGGGTATGCTTTTTATTGCTTTTCATTTGATACGATTACTATAAGAGATAAATAATAATAATAATAAAAAAGCAAAACACCCAGACAAGGAATAAAATCACAAGTTACAGTTATTTCAATGGGTTTTCTCTGAGTAGGACTTAGCTGAACAGTAAGTTAAGTGTTCCAAATTTACATAAAAAGCTCAAAAAAAAAAAAAAGGCACAGAAAACAGAAGCCTCTAGTATTCTCATCCCACCCCAGCCCCTTCCAAAAAGATTCCTTGGTGTTATCACAGAATAGAAATTTGGCCTTCAGATGAACAAGAAATGAAACCAGTCTCTATGGGATGCCTGTGGCTTTGCTTGTCTCGGATGTCTCAAGGAGGGGTCTTGACTCATGGAATTGAGTCGAGTCAGAGCTTCTCAGCCTTGCCTGCCGTACAGAAACTCAGCCACGATCAGCACCAAGGAAAGCAGGACCAAGCCAGCAACTCCCAGGCGGATGTTGATCTCCATGGATGTAAAAGTGTTTGCTGCAGAGTGAGACAGAGAAGAGTTACTACTCAATTGTTGGTTGTGAAGGCAGGGTGGGGAGGGAGATTACTCCAAGGCTGTGGCCCTCAGCATACTTTTAAAATAATAATAATAATATTATTTATTAACATTTTCATTTTCAAAAAACACCATATTTTTTTACATTTCTTTTCATCACCTATATTTTGACTCTCTCGAGTCGTCGAGTTCCTCCCATCCCTCCAAATTGACTTTCTAACTTCCAGCCCTCAGCATACTTAGCCCCATCGAGTCCAGTGAGACTTACTTCTGATTTCTAAGAACATAAGAACAGCCTGCGGGATCTACCTGCCAGTGGAAGCAGTCTTCTAATCTACTCCACTTGCCTTTTCCTTCTGACTAGAGTCAGAGAGATGATACAAAGCATACTAAGTCTGCAAGCAGTGGACCAACTAACAGCTCTACTAATAAGATGGCAGGGATACATGTTGCGTTTCAGTTTTTATGAAAATGCAGGAGCATCCAAAAGTGGTCAGTTTGTGATTGGTCACTTGCTGGGTGTTCCGTTCAGAATTACTGGTCCATAATGTGGGCTTGAAATTTCATCCACCAATGGATTGGTTGGATGGTCCTGGCTGAAGAGAGCAGAAGGTCAGGTTCAGCACTGCCTGGGGGGGTCAGTTGGGAATGCATTGGCAGATTGTGAGGACTTGCAATGAGGAACTCAAGAAGAGGACCTGGAGGAACCTGAGCCTGAGTCTGAAGCTACTGGTGGAGATGGTGGCAGCAGAGGAAGGTGGAAGGGCAGGATATTAAGTACCGTATTTTTTGCTCTATAACACTCACTTTTTCTCTCCTAAAAAGTAAGGGGAAATGTGTGTGCATCTTATGGAGCGAATGCAGGCTGCACAGCTATCCCAGAAGCCAGAACAGCAAGAGAGATTGCTGCTTTCACTGCGCAGCGATCCCTCTTGCTGTTCTGGCTTCTGAGATTCAGAATATTTTTTTCTTGTTTTCCTCCTCCAAAAACTAGGTGCCTCTTGTGGTCTGGTGCGTCTTACAGAGCGAAAAATATGGTAAATGAAAAAGTTTAGTGGGACTGGATATAATCCACATACTGTGGGTTAGCCACCCCCGATACTTCAGAATATCAAAGAGGGATAACGTGGGTCCCCAGGTCTCATTCTGATGGATGGTTTGGAGAGGCTGGGATCTACATGTTGGAATAAAAGGGGAGGCAGGGAGTAGCAATGTTGACGGTAATCAAGGAATATCTCCTGCTAATGACCATGTCAGTCAATTCATCTCCTACTCAGCCAGCCTCATTCTGCTACTATAATACAGGCATATCTCAGAGATATGTTGTGGGTTTGGTTCCAGACCACCGCAATAAAGCAAATATCACAGTAAAGTCAATTGCACATTTATTTGTTTGTTTCCCAGTGCATGTAAAAGTTATGTTTACATTATGGTCTAGTCTATTAAATTTGAAATAACATTATACTTTTTTTAAAAAAAAAACAGCAACAATGTACATACCTTAATTAAAAAAGACTTAATTGCTGAGAAATGCTATCATTTGAATGGTGGAGCCAGCACACGTTTCCAATTTCATTTACAATTGCAGCAAATTAAAACCTGTATTGGTGCAATTTGCAAAAGATGCATACAAGGATTAAGACAGGATCTTACCCGTTACTTTGATGTGTACTTCATCACTGTAGTTTGAGCATTCTTGAGTGTTCTCGAGCTTTAAGCAATAGCTACAGTGATAGATGCCCCCATCTGATTCTTTGGCATTGATAATAGGAAATAGAACTTCTCCTGATCCCATCTTCTTGCTTTCATAAGTATTTGAAGAATTTTTAATGTGTAGAGTAAACTCTGCTTCTTGCTGTTTTTCGGTCTTACAGTGGATGTTGGCATTTCCTTCCAGAGCAATCACCTCACCTGGGATCACTGAGATGGAAGGTTTGGGAAAAGCTTATCCAGGGGGAGAAAGAGAAAAAGAGGGATGCTTAATCCTTTAATCTTACACAATAGTCTGGCTTTGTAAAATGCTATTGGGGAGCATAGAAAACCATATGCTATTCAGAGTGTGAATATTGATAGGATGCATTTATGCCATTACTCGGGAGATTTGTTGGCAGAGAACACAGGTGGGATGTGAGCCTTGTCAGGGAAGGCAAGCTGCACAGCAGAGATGCCCTGGGAGAGGGACAGAACCTATTGGGGTAGGATTGCTGTGGACCCTCCATTGTAGGCTTCAGGGTGTATAGTAACGTCCATTGCCTTGTTGGTTGACTAGGACCTGGGTGTGTGACAAATAGAGTACAGAGCAGGGGGTTATATAGTGTGCTACACCATCTGCATTCCATTACGACTTTGGTTACAGAGAATGCATTTTAATCTGGAACAAAATACTAATGATTAAATAGAAATGGAGATAAAGAATCCCTTTTGATAGGTAAATATTTTGATCAGTTCAGTTATATAGTTCAATCAGTGCACTTTCCCCCCATTTGACTGGCAGATGGAATAAACCCAACACCCATTTTAGCGTCATTTGTAAAACTGTCACACAGAGACTAAGCCAAGCCCTCACCTGTTACGTTGATGTAAAGTCTGTCACTTAGACGCGAGCATGTGCGATAGAAGCAATACCTACACTGATAAATTCCTCCATGTTCTAGTTTGGCCTCAGAAATGAAAAAAATCCACTGTATAAGCTGTAGATGTCTCAGATCGCTCATACACAACAGACTCTCCCTTGAAGAGCTGAAAGGTGGCTTTATAATGAGGACTCCCACAGCTGATGTAGAAATGCCCTCCAAGGGCGACATTAGGACTGGGAATCACTGAAATTGAGGGCTCCGTATATATTCCTGATCAAGAAAGAGAATGAGAAGGTGGTTTGAAGGTGAAACACTTGCAACAGCCTCCTCCTGTCAAATAGGAGGCTTTCACCTGCAGCTGGAGAATCAAATAGAGTGAGTTTGTACAAAAATTCAAACGGCAGTGCTGGATGACTCTGCTTTGACATTATCCAACAGAGCAGGAGTTATCAAGCTGTGGTCCCTGAGCAGCTGGCTGCCCATGAGCTTCATTTAGGGGGTCTGAGGCCTGTCTGAGAAAAAAACACACACCTACAAATCTTGCGACATCCGGCACAGTGTATTACAACAGCTACAACAGGCATAAAATGAATTACCGTAAGTCATCCTCCAAGACTCTCACCAATTTTCATCTGATTCATGGCCGGAGGAGGGGCGTTTGGGATCCGCTACAATGCAGCCCATATCTATCGGTTTGTGTAAATTTCTGGTCAGCAAAGTTTTTTTGTTTTAAAAAGCAGCTCTATCATCACTCAGAGATGCAGTAGCTTGAGGAAGAGTCAAAAGAGAACCGAGTCCAAAAGGTAGCAGGTACCTTCCTTGGAAATGTCGGGTATAGACATACAGTGGTACCTCGCAAGACGAATGCCTCACAAGACGAAAAACTCAGAAGAAGAAAGAGTTTTTCGTTTTTTGAGTTGCTTCGCAAGACGAATTTCCCTATGGGCTTGCTTCGCAAGACGAAAACGTCTTGCAAGTTTGTTTCCTTTTTCTTAAAACCGTTAATACCCAGGTTGCATTGCTTGAAGAGGTGCAGTTGCGACTTGACTTCGAGGAGCAACTCATAGCACGCGGTGTGGTAGCCTTTTTTGAGGTTTTTGAAGACTTTGGTGATTTTTGAAGCTTTTCCAAAACTTCTTTTGCAGCCATTTGGTAAGTCAAACTTTTAAAACTTTTTTGGGGGGTTTTGGATTTTGTGTTGGGGTGTTTGGAATTCAAGGACTTGGTGTTGGGGAGGGGTTTGCAAGAATCTGGAAGCTTGTGTGTGTTTTTTCTGCATTTTATGATTTTTGTGACCATTGGGGCACTCTGCTGTTGTTAAAAAAAAGATTTCTGGGTTTGGATTTCTGTGTGGTGGGTGGCTGGGGGGGTCAGGGAATTGTTGAGAAGGGGTTTGCAAGAATCTGGAAGCTTGTGTGTTTTCTGGGAGGTTTGGTGCTTTTGAATTTTTTGGATGTGAAGCACTGATTATTTTTTTGGGGGGGGTTGCGAAGGTAGGAGCTGTGCTGCCATGGGGCACCAAGTGACTCTGATGCACCAGAGTCAACAGTGGTGCAGGACATTGTTTCCTTGGGGAGGACCATGGGCCTGTAGGTCACAGAGGAGGACGTCAGCGAGCTGGTGGAGGAGCACGACCACGAGCTGACCACCCAGGAGCTGGTCGAACTGCAGGCAGAGGCTGCGCAGGAGCAGGCCTCGCTGGAAGAGGAGGAAGCAACTGAGGAACAGCTGTCCTCCAAAGAACTGAGGGACATTTGCCAGAAGTGGAAAGATGTGCAGGCTTTTGCACAGTGGCACCACCCTGACAAGGACCTGACATGTGACCTTGCGAACACTTTTGATACGAGGGTCATGTTGTCTTTCAGGGAGGTGCTGAAAAGGCGGATGAAGCAGCAGACCATGGACAGGTTCTTCAGCAAGAAGCAAAGAGTGGAAGAGGAACCTTCTTCGAGTTGTCCCCCCAGAATCTTAGAAAATGTATGTACAGTACACTTTGGTGATTTTTAAATGCTTTTCTGTCATGTTTAGAAACTTAAATTATTGTTCCTTCAATTTTTGAAATGCTCTTTACAGTATGTGTGACTTTAAAGAGCACTTAATAAACTCTTTTTGTACCAAATTTGGCTTTGTTTGGACTTTTTTTTGACCATAGGAACGCATTAATTGATTTTCAATGCATTCCTATGGGAAACCGTGCTTCGCAAGATGAAAAATTCGCAAGACGAAAAAACTCGCAGAACGAATTAATTTCGTCTTGCGAGGCACCACTGTAGAGCAGTCAAGTCCAACATTCCTTGTTTCCTAGAATGGACACACAGAGGAAGGTGGCTCCAAAAAGGGAGGACTTCCTGCAATACCTGTTGGGAGCCACTCCTCTGTGTGTGACCAGGTAGATAGGTGTGACCCAAGTGAAGCCATATAAAAGGGCTGGGCACACAGCCATCTTCCTCTTTTGAATCTCTCTTTTGGATTTCTTTTGACCTACTCTTCATCCTGCTGTTCATATGCAGCCTCATCCATAACAAAGGATGTAGGCCACATGTTGTACGTCTGAGACATCACTTCCCTTGTCTACATTTTCCTGCAAATGAAACCGAAGCTGCAGCTAAAGCCTGCTCTGAATGTGAGTCAACTTTATTCTTATTTTAATAAGATGACTTTGTGTTGTTATTGTTTTAAGAGGGAAATAAAGGGGAAATGACCAGGAAGAATCGCGTCTGCACAAAGGGCCTCCTGGATTGCTTAGTTAAAAGGCTGAAACCAGCCATCAACAAACGTCGCTAGGCAGAGACCCTTCTCAGCAGTGGCGCCCTCCCATCAGATGGCAAGGAAATAAACAACTATCTGACTTTTAGAAGACATCTGAAGGCAGCACTGTTTAGGGAAGTTTTTAATGTCTGAAGTTTTATTCTGTTTTTAATATTCTGATGGAAGCCTCCTAGAGTGGCTGGGGATAATAATAATAATAATAATAATGATAATAATAATAGCATTTCTTGCAGTAAATAATAATGATAGTTGTTGTTGTTTACTGCAAGGAATGTGATCTGCTCTATGCTCACCAGCATGAGCGAGGAAAGAACATATCTAATAAATTTATCCTCTCCTACCTTCCTTAACATTCCTACAGAAACTTCAGAGTTACACATGGACAACTGAGATGGACACAGGTTGTCTAAAGACAAAGGAGAGTGGGGCACTTGCACCTGTCATCCTTGCACACTACAGGGAAAGTGTGGGAGCTACCACTTATCATTCAGCAGTAGTGAGAAAAGCAAGCTTGATTGTGGGAGGCCCTGGTATTGAACTCCCATTCTGCCCTATGCCTCTCTCCCACTCTTGGGATTATTTTGTTGACCCAAACTCACCTCTAGCCATTTGCCACTGCCTGGTCAGCCAACACCCTGGAAAGGAGAGGATTGCGTTAGAGGTGAGGCATCTGAGCAAAAGGATCTGAAGCTGGGCCTCTGAGCTCCCCACAGCGCCTTGGCCACTTGCTCTGCCCCCACCATCCTGCAAGGTGGGATACTAACCAAGAAAAAGGATGCTGGAAGACAGCCTCATGGCGTGGGTTCTGCCGCTAGCAGGGAGTCCTGTTTGCTCCTATCTTTGCTGTGTCCTGAACGACAGTCTTGGTTGGCAGCTGTTGCTGCTGAAATCCGGGAACGTTCTGTTACACAGCGGATCCTCAGCAAAAATCACTTCTCTCTGAATTGATATTCTGATCATAGTCTCCTCCCTAGCCTGCCTGATCAACCACATCTCCTATTATGTCACAACTGTGGGTTGCACAATGGAAGGAACGGAAGTGAACAGATGAAACTTCTGCATTTTGGGGGGGACGGACACGGTTTAGCATAGATTGTATCCCCTGTGCTTTTTTATAGCTGTTGTCCTGAGACAGAGGCAGTGGTGTAGCATGGGGGGGGGGGGCAGAGGGGTGATTGCCCCAGGCACAAAATTGTATGGGGCACAAAATTTCAACACCCAGTGCTGCCTCGATGCAGCTGTGCATTTCCGTTGCTGGGCTCTCTTGAAAATAGCTTCTGCATCCAAACCAGGAAATGACCTCTCCAGACAATGGAAAAAGTCTTTTCTTATCTCTGCAGCTGCAATCTCCCGGGTGACATGGACGATGTTAAGGAGTTGAATGTGCATGTGTCCTCTGTCCGTTTCTCTCCCATCCACCCCCCTCTGTGCAGCTCCGGGCGCAAGCAACCCATGCTATGTCACTGGACAGAGGGATTCTCAGCAGTTTTGTGAGGGCGAAAGAAATCCAGTACTGCCAGTCACACGTCATTGCAAAGTCAAGTATTGAGCAGCCCATTGGGACTTTACAACTTGCCTCTGTTCAGCTTTTAGGTGTGGGATATTTACAATGCAGTCAAACCAACTGTCAAGGCTGCCTCAAGTCTCAGCTCACAAAAGACCAACGCCTATGTCTTCTTATATACAAAAGTGTTTATTGCAGTTCATTGTTTGCTTGACATCCTAGGCGCGCAGCCTTACGTCTGCTACGCTTAGACCGCTGAAGTCCCCTCTGAATCCGTCCCCCCCGGCACCAATTTAAGAGGCTTGCGCTGGTCCACGTCTTTCTCTCCTTCCGTTTGCGCAGGGTCCTTCGGCGCGCGGGGGTTTCGCCCCTGGTGGATTCCTCTGAAGCGGAATCAGACTGCTCTTCCCCTCCTGCGGGCTTTGGGACCTGGCCCCTCCTGCGGGCTCCCTGTACTTCCGCGCGCCTCTACATTTGAACTCTGGCGCGCGCCAAACCTCTAACTTTCCTTTTGACAGTTACACTACTCCCTTCACTGCTCCTCCCTTCCGGGAGGGCGGCTTGCTCTGACCTCCCTCCTTTCTCTGCTGCCGGAGCTGCTTCCCCTGACACACTGGAAACTCCACCCCCCTTCGCTGCACTCTGGTGGGGAGGCTGGTCCTGACGCCCAGCTGCCACTTTGGGATCCTCCGCTGGCCCCCTGCTCCTGACACGTCCCCCCGGGGCTCCCTGGCCTTGACCACCGGCGCCCCCTTCTGGGAATCCTCTGATTCGCTGGAAAGACTCATGGAATCTCTTGAGTCATTGTCATCCTCTTCCTCGCTGGCTTGGGATTCATCCCCATCGCTCTCCATCTCCTGCCTACCCTGTGCCTCTCTCCCTGAACCCCTGACACCAACGATTCATGTTTGCTAGATGGGCCCATGATGGGAGCTGAAGCTCACAGAGTTTACCTGTAAGTTTGCTAGAGAGGACTTTGCAAGTGGGGATCCCACTGTGCCCTGAGAGGGAGAGGGTGTGGCCCTATATATTCTCCTTACCTGGGCACCTTCTCCTTTGCCTCTCTTCACTCTTACTCTTCATCTCATCTTCAATCCAGAAATCAGAGCTGCTAAGTCTGAGCTGTAGCTCAAACTCCATCTTAAACTAGACTAAAATATGTCTAACTAAATTACCATTTTAAGGCCGCCTGAACAAAACTCCTGTATCTCTTATTCTGCAACAGATACTCTGAGTGAGTAAATGTTGTTTTTACCTTTTGCAAGACTGTTTGTGTGATTATTGTTTTAAGGGACAGAAAAGGTGGAAACAGCAGGATAATCCAGAAGCAACCTGCATTACTTAAACTAAAAGGCTAAAACTAGCCTAGCTAAGTTTCCCTTTTAAGCTGCAAAGGAATGTACCCTGTTGAACTCACAAACATGAGAAAACAAGGATAATATCTAATAAACCTATCCTCTCCCAGCATCTATAGACATCCCTACATAAGGTAGCCCAAGTCCCACCTTCCCATGAAACAAACAGCCTCTACCCAACCACCCCCTGATTCTTGTCTGCTGTTTCTTGGAAGTGTGTTCTTCAGAGGCACAATTCTCAGTAGAGTACAGAACTGGTTGGGGTCAGGAAAGCTGGGCAGGGGGGAATGTAGGGATGGAAATTTCAAACACGTGTGTGTGGGGGGAGTGTCATAGGGTTGCCATATTTTGAAGACCACAACGGAGGACACATTTGCCGACTTCTACTTTTAACTATGGATCGCTCTGATGACTCTCATTTTACATACGCATGAAAAAGAGGACATGTCTGGGGAAAAGAGGACATATGGCAGCTCAGCCTTCTTCCTTGTGAAATCTAAATGGACTCCTTCATAGTCTTTCACATCGCCTTCTGCTTGTGAAGTGCAGTGCGGGGTGGGGAGAAATCTGGCAAAATTGCCCTTGTAGCTCAGTATGTTATCTCTACAACTATCCAAGTGAAGTAGAAGTAGGGGGGAGCTGGCTCATGTGGAAACCAAGAGGGCAAGAACAGGGCAAAAAATAAAAAAGCTGTCACAAGCCGAGTCTGAAAAAATTCCAGACTAAAAGGGAAGAAGTAGTGGCATCATCTGTCATCTGACTCATGAGTCAGCCAGAGGCAGCGACCAAGAAGCATTGTGCCAAATAATGCTACTGTGCATTGGATCCTGGGAATCTGTTCAAAACAAACAACCAAGTGGATGTCCTTCTAGCCATACATTCAACCGCCACTCTGGCACTGACTCTTGCACTGAAAGGTTTCAATCTTTGTTCTTTATCACAGACTTTTTTAAAAAAAATAAGGGCGCACATATATGTGTAAATAGATACATGAATGGCTCTGCAATATAAATTGTTTAGATATTCATTGATATATACTGGTATTCCCCCCCTATTTTTCTGAAGTGTATTTTGTTGCCAAAGGCACCCTATATCCGTTAGGCCTGCACTAACTACGTTATGCTAACCTAAAAAATAAATCCTAATTCATTCAGTGAGGCCTACTCCCAGGTAAGTGGGGTTAAGATTTCAGTCTTAATCTGCTTCCTATTGTGAATTTTAAACAGCAACTAAATGCAACAATCACTATTGTTCTTTTTTGCACGGAAAAAAATGTTATCCTGAAGCTACTGGGAGAGGCCACCTGGACTTTGGGGGGTTGTCCCCCCCAGCAGCCTGACGACACCCAGCTCTAGTTCTCCTTTCTGCCCAAGTCCAAAGCAGCTTTCTTGCTTCTCAACTCAGTCTGTCATCACTAAAGGACTGGATGAGGGCCAACAAACTTAGTCCAGGCAAGACTGAGGCGCTCTTGGTCAGTGTCAAGGCCTCAGTGAATCCCATGGTGGCAGCAAAGAAGCAGATAAAGGAAAAGAAGAGTTCTGACCAATTAGTTTATTCAACAATCACAGTCAGAGACAAAGGGATGTGTCTCTCTCTCTAGAAATGGTGTCGCTCCGAGTAAAGCCCCACCCCCTTCGTCTCTCTCATACCACGTCATCCTCATGCCGGTTGGTCTGGGCTTTCTGTCTCTCAGCTCTCTGTTCAGCTACTCTCGCAGCACGCCTAGTCCTGGGCGAGGGGGGGGGGGGCTCAGGAATGCTTTCCAAAGACAATGAGTCTGTCGGCTGCCTCTCTCCCACCGCTTCCCTTTCTTCCTGCTGTTCCTCTTCTAGGATTTCCCAGCTTCTGCCCTCTGCAGACTGTGGACTATGCCCTTCTGCAAACCACTGCTCTAAATCGACACTGTCCTCCTGGTCTCGGGAAGGTTCAGGAGAAGGGGGAGCAGCCCCCACCAGTCCTCCCCAGTCCAGCCCCTGACAGTCAGTCAGAAGGCAGGACAGGGAATAGGGATTCGGTTTGTGCTGGATGGGGTAACACTCCGCCTGAAGACGCAGGTTTGCAGTTTGAGTGTGCTCCTGGCTCAGACCTAAGCATAGATGCCCAGGTTTTAATAAAAAGACAATTTTAAAAAGGCTAGCAGTGTAAACATGCATTTGGGAATCTGAGTACAGAGTATTCAATCCACAGGGTTGAAGATTTTTTTTTTTGAAATATTTTTTATTTTAGTTTACAAATATAGAATTACAATGGTACCTTAGTTTGCAACCATTTTGGATTACAAGCACATCAAACCCGGAAGTGTGTGCCCCTTTTTTTGGATTACAACCCTTTTTTTTGGGGGGGGGGAGGCCCCATTAGCGAAAGTGCACCTTGGGTTACAACCGGTTACAACTGGAACGGATTATGGTTGTAAACCAAGGTACCACTGTATAACAATCCAAATACATATTCATATTCATATATAGAGATTAATTTGAATCTCATGGCTTCACCCCACCCCCTCCATGGGTGTTAATATCAACATTAAAATCTGCATATTATTGCATAATCTATCATTTGTATCAATCTATGTTATCCAAGGTATCTGTTACATTACAAGTGAGATTAAAATCCTACTAATGTATCCATCATTTTACAGTGGTCTCCTACATAAACTATAATTTCCCCCACTCCATTCTTTTTTTGAAGTTTTTGTCCTCTTGGTTCTTGAGCTTTCCGGTCAGTTTTCCAGGGACTTTGTCTTCTTTCCATCTCTGAGCTAATAGCATCCGAGCGACTGTTGTCCCATACATAAAAAGTCTTTTCTGATCTTTTGAAATGTCGGTACCTATAATTCCTAATAGAAAAGCTTCTGGGGGTTTTTTAAAGCAGAAGTTATTTTTTTAAAAAAATTCTATTTCATTATATATAATCTCCCAGAAAACTTTTATTGGCTTAGATGTCCACCACATATGATAAAATGTAGTGCTGAAGATTCTCAGCCCTGGATTAGGCGATGTTCTCAACCGCAGGAGCAAACCGCCTTAGTGAGCCAGGAGCCTAGGGAAGAACTCTACAGAAAGGAGGTAGTCAGTGGTCAAAGAAGAAGAGTACATACATATTTGGAGTGCCCAGCTCTTTGGTGGGAGCAGCAGGTTCTCTCAGTGAAGAAGGCTCTACTAGGAAGCATTGTCCTGCTAGAAATGTCCCTGCAAACCAAGGATCAGCCGAGGTCCCAGAAGTCTCTACATCCTAAGAGGTCCTGCTTGTCAGTCCTACTTTGGTCTGCCTTGGGCCAATGTTGCGTAAGTACAGCTTTCAGGGATCCTGTCAGCATCGGGTACCTGTTTGGATTTCAGGGCCCCGTGGTTCAGGGCAGCATAAGAAACTCCATCAGGGTCTTCTCTGCTGTCGGATTCCAGGGGCTATGGGGGGGGGGGGGAGAGGGAGATATTTAGCATTCAGTCTCTGCCACTACATCTTCTAGCGCAGGGGTCTGCAACCTTTTCAGCAGGGGGCCGGACTATATTTTTTTGGGGGATGAACGAATTCCTATGCCCCACAAATAACCCAGAGATGCATTTTAAATAAAAGCACACATTCTACTCATGTAAAAACACGCTGATTCCCGGATCGTCCGCGGGCCGGATTGAGAAGGCGATTGGGCTGCATCCAGCCCCCAGGCCTTAGGTTGCCTACCCCTGTTCTAGAGGGACAATGGGAATGATGAATAAGAATGTGTAAATGACAGGAATTTGAACAGCAACTTCCAGAGAGGAGCAAATGGCATCTGGGCAGGGGCATCAGAAGGGGTGTGTGGTGGGGGCACTCTGCCCCAGGTGCCATCCCAGAGGGGGGTGACAAAATCCCCCCTGGGAGGATTGCGCTGCTGCTCCGTGAATGGAAACCCCCCCCCGAGGTTTGTCCCGCCCTGTGGGAGGATCGCCCTGCCCCGCCACTCTGGGTGCAGGAGCGGCAAGCTCCGCCACTGCACCTGGGGCTGCCACTCAGCTCTCAAGAGGATGAGTGTTACACTCTGCACATGCCTGCACACCCACAGTCAAATGAGCCTACTGCTAAAAAATAAATAGAATGTTGCCGGACAGGATCACACTTTCTTTCTTTTTTTTGACATAACTCTGCAACCCTAAGGCTAAAGGGGTACATTTGGAATGCAGCTGCCCTCTCCAGAAACTTCTGGTATTAAACTGAGCTGCTTTATACACTGTCACTGAATCCTGACAGTGCCCTAGGACTTTCACATAGAGATGTATGAATAAAACCACACCCCTATTGGGATCCAGAGGTTATAATTGCCAATGGCGGCTTTCGGTCTGACACCTGAAGTGTTTCACAGATGGTATCTTTTTCTGTCTCTATGGCCTGTTTTCTCCACCAAATTGGTTAGAAGAAGAAGAGTTTGGATTTGATATCCCGCTTTATCACTACCCAAAGGAGTCTCAAAGCAGCTAACATTCTCCTTTCCCTTCCTCCCCCACAACAAACACTCTGTGAGGTGAGTGGGGCTGAGAGACTTCAGAGAAGTGTGACTAGCCCAAGGTCACCCAGCAGCTGCATGTGGAGGAGCGGAGACGCGAACCTAGTTCACCAGATTACGAGTCTATCGCTCTTAACCACTACACCACACTGGCAGAGATGTTCTTTTTTCCTTCTTAGATTGAAGGGCCTGGAGTGTAGGAGGTTGGCAGGATGTCCACAGTAATAAAGGTTTTTGTTTACGTGGAAGTTTTTGTTGCTAGGAAAGCTTACTGTGTTCGGTGGTTGGCTTCTTTTGTGGGCCGTGGAACCTGCAGATCAGAAAGAGAGCATGAGATTCTTGGCCCAATCTGTTTCAGAGCAGCTTTGTGGGTTCTGCTCCCTCCCCATGTAGCCTAACTCTTAAGACCAACCTTCCCTAACCTGGTGCCCTCCAGATGTTTTAGACTACAAGTCCTATCAGCCTTGACTATTGGCCATGCTGGAGTTGCCATCCAAAAACTTCCACAAGAAGGACATTGAGGTGGGAAAGCCTGACTTAGACCTTTCTCTTCATGGATGGAGAAAACTTCTTGCTTCGTTTCTGTGAGGCTGTGTGTCACTCTGCATTGGAAAAACTTCTACCAAGGTAACCCATAAACTAAATTGCTTTTTAAAATAAATTTAAATAACACACACAGAAAATTTTTCATCTGCTAGAGATGCAAAAAGATAACTTGCTGCTCAGGTCACTGAAAACCTATACTGCTACAAAAACAGTTTTGCATGCTTTAATCTCTGCCACTGTAAAGCAGTCCATTCAGAAGCCCACTTACCGTTTCTGCCTTTTCTGTACAATATAAAGGCAAGCACCAGAAGGAAGAGAATCAGAAGGGAAAGTCCAGCCGCAATGCTTGCCCACAAGATGACTGGAAATCTGTCTGTAAAACCAGGTGACAGTTAGAATGCTACTAATGCTTATTGTGCAGTGTCCAGTGGCTATTAGGAATGATCCTCTTATTGGCCTTTGGATCTATCAATCAACCTCCACAAGACCGCCTCCCAGTTCCCATACATGCATCCATTCGCCCCTGCATGACCACATCACTCAGGACTAGTCATGATGGCCATGCATGTGCTATACCTCCACCATCACAGGCAGTATACCTCTGAACATCTATTGCTGAACATCTGAACATCTGAACATCTATTGCGCACGAGAGGGCTATTGCATGCATTAAGCTGCTTGTGGGCTTCCCATAAGCTTCTGGGTGGCCACTCTGAGACGAGAGTGCTGGACCAGATGGGCCTTGGGTCTGATTCTGCAGGGGTCATTCTTACTACAAAAGCTTTCTATCTACTGCACAGTATGGACACCCACCGTGCTTTCCCATAATCCTAGGAAAGCCTTGGTTTTCACAGAAGCTACTCCTTACAGACTAACGATTCCCACCATCTTTATCAAACCACAGTTCTCTGGATTCTTTTGAATAAGTCATGTGCTTTAAATGGTGTGTATGCTCTCTCTCTCTCTCTCTCTCTCTCTCACACACACACACACACACACACACACACACTGAATTTCCTTTACACTGGGAATATGTGCAGATGAAGCAATCCCGTGAGCACGGCAAATTGGTTGGGTTGACTGTTGCCATTCCAGAAAGGAGAGCTGGAATGATCCACATGACTGGTCCCAGCAAGATGGTTGATTAAATCACACATATTTTCCAACAGTATGCAGGGCCAGCTGAAGATATTTTTCTGCCTGAGGTGAGTGACAAGGGGGTGCCATTTCTCCCTCCCACTCCATGTACTAAAACTCACCAGCTTCTCTAGGTTATGCAGAGCTTGCACTGTGGGAGGTGGTATGGCACCCAACTCTGTCCTCTAACACTTCTCTTCCACTGCATCTTCTGTCTCAGGCAGGGCAGCTGATTTACTCTGCCTAACAGTAGGGCTGACCCTGGATTCTGTGGGGAAGCAGTTCTTTCATACTGCCCTATGTCTATGAAAAGGTCACCCACCTGACCTTTCAGCTTCCTCCTTAAGTTCTACAAGTTACCACTCCAGCACCCTGCCTCCCATCTGTCTTATTCAAGAATGTACTTTTCCACATCTTTATACCTCTAACATATTTCAGTCAAATGGTATCGGTCCCTTCATTCCCTAGACATACAGAAACACGGGCCATGAATATCCTTCCGCCAATGATTACATGACACAAGGGCAGAAAGCCATATCACATTCCCATATATGCCCCAAGTAAGTGAATATTGAGATGGGCTTCCTGCTATCTCCATGTACCTCCATCTCCTATGCACCTCACCTTGGATGCTATCATCTTCATTTCTGATCTTGTCTCTAGTAACCCGTTGCTGATGCAAACCCAAACACCCAGTTCCTCCATTCCCTGTAATGTGGCTCAAGGTCACCTAGGGTGGTATTTGGCTTTGACAGCCATAATCTCTAGAGCTCATGCACAGAGAGTGAGAGTTAGAAGAAAGGTGGGAGAAAGACCTATGGAAGCTCCTCACCTGTCACAACCAGTTCCATGGGGTCACTTGACTCTGACCAACGAAAGGGGAATCCTATGTGGTGATATCGGCAGGTGTAGCTCCCTCCATCCTCCAACCTCACTTCAGAGAAAAAGAACTTGGTTGCATTTCTGTTCCCTTCTGCCTCCTGTGATGCTATCAGGTTGTTTGATTTGAACAATGAGAAGGTCACATAACTCTTTGCCCCCTGACACTCAATGCTGACATTCATCCCAGTAGAAATCTGCTGTGTTGGTGTCAGAGTGATAGAAGGTTTAGAAAGCCAGGGATCTAGTGTTAGGAAAAAGAAAAGAAAAAAACAGCCAGGAAAGGACTGAGACATGTTGCTTGTGATGCATGTAATGCATCCTGCTAATTTGCATCAGATCAAAAGACCTTTTTGCTATGCACAAAATCACCTTCAATTGACATGTATTGGATATAATGTACAGGTATAGTGTGCAAAGAGAGTAGCATCCAAATACTTTATCTTCCAAATTATTTCAGCTTTATCTCCCCCCCCCCCCCCATCTTTCTACCCCTTAATGGTGCAAAGACATGTTTGAAAGTATGGGCAAAGTGAATCACAATCTCTGAAGCTAGAGGGCAGGAAGGGAGGCTGAAACATATGCTAGTCCCTGAATATTATCCCTGCCCCATCAAAACCAGTAGCTGGGGAATAAATAATACAGCGCGCATAAGAAAATGTGCTTTATGCTGAGTCAAACCATTGGTCTTCACCAGAGGCCTGAGCCAATATGTGCCAATGCCATATAATCAGCCAAAAAATTTAACAATTTCTCCTTCATTTTCAGGTGATGGAGTGAAGGAAAGGCAGATGAGAAATTTGATTTAACAGAGACTTAAAGGCAGATCTATCTAAGCTGCAGCTTCCAAAATAATGCATTGCAACCCTAACAAAAATATGTTAACTTGGATTATTGACTATGAACCTGAGTGCCTCTGCTTTTCAAAATATAAAACAGCATATAAACATACATCTTCTCAACAGTATATTAATATATATTAAGACATGTAATTAGCTAATTAATCATTATTTTTTCAACTATATCCCAAGACACTCAAGCCAGCATAATGGTTCTTTACCTCATTTTGTCCTCACAACCAGAGTGTGCTTGAATCTCATCCAGTGAGTTTCACACCTGAATAGGGATTTGAGCCAAGTCCTAGCCAGAACCATCAACTGCTTCATCAGGCTGGCAATGGACTCTCTGACAGAGACTTTAACCTTTTGGTTAAACTACAGTTCCCAAACTACACGGAGGAAGCCATGACTGCTAAAGTGGTATAAGGGTCTTTGGTGTGGATGCAACCCAAGACAGAATCTCACCTGTTATGTTGATGTATACTCTGTCACTGTAGTTTGAGCATCGCTGATTGAAGTCCAAGTCTGATTGGAAGCAATAGGTACAAAAGTAGATCCCCCCATCAGTTCGTTTAGCATTGAGAATGGGAAATAAAATACTGCCTGGTTCCATCTTCTTGATCTCATGGTTACCCCAAGAATTTTCTCTCAGCAGAGTGATTTCTGCCATTGGGTTCTCTTCACTCTTACAGTGGATGGTTGCATTTCCCCCCAGGGCAATTATTTCATGCGAACTCACTGAAATGGAAGGTTTGGGATAGAAATGCTCTGAATGGGAAAGAGAAGAAGAGGGATGTTTAAGGGCTGGTGCAACTCCAACATTCAGCAGAAGGCAGAACTACAATCTTCTAGGAATGTAATACAGAAAGAGAATGAGAGATATGTTAGGCAATGCATCATTTCCTTCTGGTTGAAGATGCAATAAATTTGACCTCCACTTTAGTATCATTTGTGAAACTGGCACACCAAGACGGAGAAGAGCCCTCACCTGTTATGTTGACGTGAACTCTGTCGCTGGAACCCAAGCATTTTTGAACTTGGTCTTGACTGAAGCAATATGAACACCAGTAGATCCCTCCATCTGTTTGCTTGGCATTAGGAATGAGAAATGCAGGACTTAATGAATCAGTCCCAGAAAACAAATGCCCCGGAGTCCCTTCCTTGAAGAGATAGAAAGTTGCTTGTTCACGGTATTCATTTCTACGATATTCATTTGTACAGTGGATGTAGAATCGTGTCCCTGGGATGACAAGAGGACTGGGACTCACAGAGATGGAAAGCTTTGGATAAAGGTCTCCTGGAAAGAAAGAGGGCTGATATTCAGAAGGTGGAACATCTGCAACTGTGTCACTCTGTAAAATAGGAAACTTGCTCTTGGAATATCTGCTCACCTGGGACAGAGAAGATGAGTGGCAATGCCATGTGCAACGGCCTGACTCTTGTTGCATTTGGCAAGAAGGGAGGGGGCATTCTGGCAGGAACGGAAGTGGGGGGCGTGCAAGGAGTGGCACATTCCCATTTTGCCTCAAATGGTGACACAGGATGGCCCCCTCCTGTCTTTCTGCAACACCCATGTGCTCCATGGGGTTGTCTGCAGAGACATTCCCACCTAGACATATGTAACCAGTCACAATCACGCAGAGTCCTTACATGTGTGTCCACACATTGGATTCTCTGCAGACAACCACATGTAACATGTGATTGTTGCCTGAAGGAGTAGGGACATTAGGGTTAGGGCTTAAAACGAGAAACTGCTTTGCTTTCAACGTAACTATGCCCTGCACATGAATAGGTCTAAGGACAGAGCAAAACTCTCACCTCTTATGTTGACATAAACTTTATTGCTGAATTCTGAGCATTTATTTTCATTAATGCAATATTTGCACTTGTAGAACCCGCCATTGGATTCTACATGTTTGGCATTAGAAAGGGGGAAATCTGTATAATGTGAGGCAGTCTTAGAATCCACAGCCGCTGAACTCCCTTACTTGACAAGAAAGAAGGTTGCTTCTGAGTTACCGTATTTTTCGCACCATAGGACGCACCGGCCCATAGGACGCACCTAGTTTTTTGGGGGGGAAATAAAGGAAAAAATTTTTTATTTCCCCCCCAGGTGCGCTGTGCTAAGCCCGAAGCTTGGGGCGTGCAGAGCTCAGCGCGCCCCAAGCTTCTGGGTGCCGGCAAGCAGTCCGCTAGCCGTGGGAGAGCCGCGCGGCTCTCCCAGGGCTAGCGGAGCGCTGCGCTAATCCCGAGCTTGGGGCGTGCGGAGCTCAGCGCGCCCCAAGCTTCTGGGTGCTGGCAAGGTCTCCGCTAGCCGTTGGAGAGCTGGGTCTCCCATGGCTAGCGGATAGCTTCCTGAAGCCTGGAGAGCGAGAGGGGTAGGTGCGCACCGACCCCCCTCGCTCTCCAGGCTTCAGCGAAAGCCTGCATTCGCTCCATGGGACGCACACACATTTCCCCTTCATTTTTGGAGGGGAAAAAGTGCGTCTTATAGAGCGAAAAATACGGTATGTTCAGTCTCACAGTGGATATAGATATCTTCACCTAGGATGACCTGAGGACTTGGTCTCACTGAGATGGAAGGCTTCCGATAAAGCTGTCCTGGGAAAGAAAGATAACAGGAGTGAGATTTGGAAGGCAGAGCAGTAGTAATGGGAGACTTGTAGTAGACTTGTATCAGGGTACCAAAATCCACAAAAGTGTGGTACGTATATTAATCAGTAACATTTTCCAATTGACATATATCTATATTTTCACATATTCCTCATCACCATCCTGTTTTCTAAAGAAGTAGGAATCATATTTTGAACTGAGCAACAGCTGTAGGGCCAACAATATAGCCTTCAACCAATGACTCACTTCTGAGATAGCAGAGAGAGGGGGAGGGCTCTTTAACTTCCCCTTCCCTGTTGACATTGGAGGAGGACAGGGTGGAGAGGAAGTGGAAGAGTCCAGAACCTAAGGTCCTTTATGTCACTCGGTTGCTCACTCTCCTGCATAAGCCAAGACACAGGAGACAGGCAGGACAGCGCCAGTTGCGATTCATGCAGCCAGGAGGCAATGAAAGAGAAGGTTCTCCCTTAGTATCTAGTGATGTTTACAGTGGGAGGGGCAAGACTAAGGATCCCTGTGTCTAAACAGACCTTGCACCCAAGAGAAATAAACTGAAGTGGATAACTGGGAGGACGGTTTCCTTGACAGGTTGTCTAGAGACAAATAAATAAGGGCAGTTCAACTTTTCTAGAAAAAGAGGTACCGGAAATCACCATGAAAGCCTCCCTTGTTCTCTGATAATGGCAACTGCCCCCACCTAAAAGATGCCGGAACTGAGTTCCGACTGGAAAAAAGCCTCGAATATGAGACAGATAAAGTCTACCATGAGAAAAGTAGTCCTGGTTGGAGGAGTCTACGGCATGTAGTTCCCATTCTTCTCACCCCCTATTTTTATCACCATTCTCACGGCTGACTGACACTCACCTCTGGAGATCTGCCACTGCCTGGTCAGCCAACACCCTGGAAAGGAGAGGATCCATTTAGAGTCCAGATATCTGAGCAACAGAAATGGAAGCCGGGCCTCCAATCTCCCAGACCTGCTCTTGCAAACACTCTGATCCCACTGCGCTCCAAGGAGTGATACCAACCTAGAAAGAGGATGCTGGAAGGGAATTTCATGGCTTGGCTTCTGTAGCCAGATGTTTGTTCTGTTTGCTCCTTATTCTGCTGTCTCCCAAGTGAAGGTCTCAGCTGGAGGCTGTTGCCACTGAAACCCAGCAATGTTCTGTGATGCAGCTCTTCCCCAGAACAAATGACTCCTCTCTGATCGGCCAGTGCTGTTGTCCTTCTTCCGTTCCCATGGCTGCCTGACCAACCACATCCCTTATTACAGTAGTTTGCATCTATCTGATGGTTGCAAAACCAGAGGAAGTGAAGGGCTGAGTGTTTGGCATGGAACACAACTCCTATTTTTATTTTTCTAGGTCTCAGAGAGAGAGAGCATGTCAGCAGTATTGTTGGGGCAAAAGAAATCTAGTATGCCCAGTTGTACATCATGGCAAATTCAAGCTCTGGTCACTTACGGCCTCCTCCCCAAAGATATTGTGCCTATGCTGTCACTTTGGACCCTGTTGATCAAAAAACACATTTAAGGAACAATTAGGAGACCTGGTGGTGTGTCCCTCTGTACAGACTCAGAGATACATAGTGAGTGAGTTGTTAGTTTAAGCTCCACAGAGGCATTGGGACTGCAGTTATGATGGCTCCCCACTGCAGAGGAATGATCAGCTCTCAAATACTTATTTCTGTCTTACTCTGATGCTGTCCTAGGCCCAGCTCTGACATTCATGGTTTTCTTCTATATAAAAGAACCGCAGCAAGCCTCAGGCTCTTGTGCCTCCTCCAGTGTGGTGTAGTGGTTAAGAGCGGTAGACTCGTAATCTGGGGAACCAGGTTCTCCGCTCCTCCACATGCAGCTGCTGGGTGACCTTGGGCAAGTCACACTTCTCTGAAGTCTCTCAGCCCCACTCACCTCACAGAGTGTTTGTTGTGGGGAGGAAGGGAAAGGAGAACGTTAGCCACTTTGAGACTCCTTAGGGTAGTGATAAAGCGGGATATCAAATCCAAACTCCTCTTCTTCTTTTGTCAGGTAGGATATTAGAAGCTTCCATTCCATTTGGATTAACCAGAGTTCTCCCTGACTTCCAAATCATGGTTTGATTGTAGTGAAATCTTTCCATTAAAATAAAATGAAAGTCAAATTTTAATCTACTTCCTTCAATTTTTCTCCGTTAACAAAAGTAGAAGGTTACTGAGAGACCTCAGACTTAGCAAAGCAAGGAGCTCAGGAAGCTGCCTCAGAATGAGTGAGTCAGTTGGTCCATTGAGCCCAGTATTGTCTGCAATGACTGACAGCAGCTCTGCAGGATTTCAGGCAAGATTCTTTCAGTATTGTACTTGGAGATGTCAGGAATTGAACCGGGAATCTTCTGCATGCAAAACGGATGCTCTGCTACCAAGCTACACTTGTTCTGCATTAGAAAGGCAGGCAGTCCCTTCCCTTGAAGTTAACGGTGACAACCACTGTGTGCAACATCTGACTCTGTGCACTGCTCCATTTCCTCCAAAAGCAGGAGAAACAGAAGTGATACAAGGGGGCTCTGCAGAGCTCCTCTTTCTACAAAGTAAGGGTCTATAAATAATCTTTCATTGCAGGCTGAGCGGACGATGAGGCAGGCTCCCTGGAACTCCTCTGAGAATGACGTCATGTCAGGAGTGGTCTGAGATGTTTTGATGCCTGAAGCCAAATATTGTGCAGTGGCACTGTAATAACAGGGCAGGGCATCAGGTTATCTCAGAGACTCTGAGAGAGGGAGGTAGTATTCTGCAGAGCTTTGACAATGGTCTCTCTCCACCCCCGTCCCTAAAATAGCACCCCACAATAGCTTTGGACATTTCCACCCTTCCTATAAACCCTGCCCCCTGCCTTTGCCACCCTTGAATTAAACTAGGGATCTTTCATTTCCTTCAGGGGATATGCACTAGCATTCTTCCATGCTGGCTCCACACAACAGTCTTCCGCTCTCATACCCCGAAAATCCTCTCATTTCCCCCGCTGGATTTCAGGAGCTGCTTTCTCACTGAGGATGGGCATCGTGGAGTTGCTACTCCTGCCCAATCACAGTTCAAAGCAACAGAAAAGCAATTACCTAACTCACAGTCACATTGGTTTTAGATGGACGGGTATGCTTTTTATTGCTTTTCATTTGATACGATTACTAAAAGAGATAAATAATAATAATAATAAAAGCAAAACACCAGACAAGGAATAAAGTCATAAGTTATGCAGTTAATACACACAATTCACTTAGTTATTTCAATGGGCTTTCTCTGAGAAGAACTTAGCTGAACAGTAAGTTAAGTGTTCCAAATTTACATAAAAGCTCAAAAAAGGCGCAGAAAACAGAAGCCTCCAGTATTCTCACCCCCATCCCAACCCCTTCTGAAAAGATTCCTTGGTGTTATCACAGAATAGAAATTTGGGATTCTGATGAATAAGAAATGAAACCAGTCTCTATGGGATTCCTGTGGCTTTGCTTGTCTCGGATGTCTCAAGGAGGTGTCTTGACTCATGGAACTGAGTCGAGTCAGAGCTTCTCAGCCTTGCCTGCTGCACATGAACTCAGCCACGATCAGCACCAAGGAAAGCAGGACCAAGCCAGCAACTCCCAGGCGGATGTTGATCTCCATGGATGTAAAAGTGTTTGCTGCAGAGTGAGACAGAGAAGAGTTACTCAATTGCTGGTTGTGAAGGCAGGGTGGGGAGGGAGATTACCCCAAGGCTGTGGCCCTCAGCATACTTATTTTTTAAAAAAAATGATATTTATTAACATTTTCATTTTCAAAAAACACCGTACATTTTTTACATTTCTTTTCATCACCTATATTTTGACTCTCTAGAGCCGTCGAGGTCCTCCCATCCTCCAAATTGACTTTCTAACTTCCAGCCCTCAGCATACTTAGTCCCATTGAGTCCAGCGAGACTTACTTCTGATTTCTAAGAACAGTCTGCTGGATCTACCTGCCAATGGAAGCAGTCTTCTAATCTACTCCACTTGCCTTTTCCTTCTGACTAGAGTCAGAGAGATAATACAAAGCATACTAAGTCTGCATGCAGTGGACCAACTGACAGCTCCACTAATAAGATAGCAGGGATACATGTTGCGTTTCAGTTTTTATGCAAATGCAGGAGCATCCAAAAGTGGTCAGTTTGTGATTGGTCACTTGCTGGGTGTTCCGTTCAGAATTACTGGTCCATAATGTGGGCTTGAAATTTCATCCACCAATGGATTGGTTGGATGGTCCTGGCTGAAGAGAGCAGAAGGTCAGGTTCAGCACTGCCTGGGGGGGTCAGTTGGGAATGCATTGGCAGATTGTGAGGACTTGCAATGAGGAACTCAAGAAGAGGACCTGGAGGAACCTGAGCCTGAGTCTGAAGCTACTGGTGGAGATGGTGGCAGCAGAGGAAGGCGGAAGGGCAGGATATTAAGCAAATGAAAAAGTTTAGTGGGACTGGATATAATCCACATGCTGTGGGTTAGCCACCCCCGATGCATCAGAATATCAAAGAGGGATAACGTGGTCCCAAACACAATCATGTAAATACAACCATATGCTTCCCACAATTCCCAGGGCTGTCTCCATCTCCCTCAGGCTTCAAATGTACCTCCTTATTCATTCCTGAACCCACACTTACTTTTTTATTTTTATTTTATTAACAATTTCAACATAACAAAATATCAAAACATGTCATATTCATTTCCCCCCTTCCCCCACCTCCCCATCGAACCCTCCCCCCTCAGACTTCCCTCAGCTCCTCTCTCTGATTTCTCAACACATATTATTCTCTGCATATTGTAAAATTGCACAAATCCTTATATTATCTGTCTACTATGTTAACAATCAATATATTTGTGTATGTTTATTCAAAACCTGCCAAGGAGTCCAATTCATTTTGTTGCCTTTTTAAGTAGTTTGTAAAAAGTTCCCATTCTTCTTTAAAGTCACAGTTGTCCTTATCTCGCAATTTGTATGTCAGTTTAGCCAGTTCTGCATAGTTCATCCATTTCTCTTGCCACTGCTCTTTTGTCGGGGCTGAACCCACATATACTTAGCCATTGCCAGTGGAGTCGAATCACATGGATACTCCATTCTGTGCTATGTGGCCATGGTTCCGCCATAGAGGTGTTTGGCTTTGGTCGTCACAGTTCCCCAAACTCCTGCCATATACACAGAAGGAAGGAAAACAAAGTCACAAAGCCAGGCTCCTCACCTGTCACAAGTTCCAACCTCACTGCGTCACTTGGCTCCGACCACAGAAAGGCATGTCCTCTGCGGTGATACTGACAGGTATAATTCCCTTCATCCTCCAGCCTGATCATGGAAAGAGAGAACTCAGATGTGTTTCCATCCGATTCTGCCATCTGCCATGCTATCAGGTTGCTGGACTTGTGCAAAGAAAAGTTCAGGCCATTCTCTGGTCCATGACACTCGATGGTGACATTGAAGCCTTCAGCAAGTGGGTCCCCAGGTCTCATTCCGATGGATGGTTTGGAGAGGCTGGGATCTACGTGTTGGAATAAAAGGGGAGGCAGGGAGTAGCAATGTTTACGGTAATCAAGGAATATCTCCTGCTAATGACCATGTCAGTCAATTCATCTCCTACTCAGCCAGTCTCATTCTGCTACTATAATACAGGCATATCTCAGAGATATGTTGTGGGTTTGGTTCCAGACCACCGCAATAAAGCAAATATCACAGTAAAGTCAATTGCACATTTATTTGTTTGTTTCCCAGTGCATATAAAAGTTATGTTTACATTATGGTCTAGTCTATTAAATTTGAAATAACATTATACTTTTTTAAAAAAAAACAGCAACAATGTACATACCTTAATTTAAAAAGACTTCATTGCTGAGAAATGCTATCACCTGACTTTTCAATGAGTTGTAAAAATCCTGGGAATCTAAGGTTTTGCCAGGTAAAAGTGGGTTTCCAATTCACTTTGATACATGCATTTGATATGTTTGGGGCAATGTCAAGTCCCAGCTCAGAAGCCAAAGTGCTAAACCAGAATTCTAATGGCCAGGATTTCAGTGGCAGCCATTCATACCTCTTCCCTGCCACGCCCCCCATTATTCATAGAAGAATTATATGCAGTAAGGAAGCATGAGCACTAGTCGCAAAATTAATGCAGAGAAAGGAAGTATATACATATTTGCATAATTCAATCAGGTTACAGAGTTCCATTCATGCAAAAGTTTGGCTTTCAAACCAAAATCAATTTTTTTTTCCATTCTTGCATGCATCACAGTGTGGTTTATCTCCATTCCAATTTTTGGTAGACGTTTGCCACCTGATGGTCAGAAGGTAGAATTGAAGCCTGTCCCATCTCAAAACTTTCAGGGGCTTATGAGCAGCTCTGGGAACCACTGCAAATAAACTGAATGTGTACAGTATTTAGAAGGTTCCTCCATAGCCTGTAGTTCTAGTATTTCAGAACCTAAAGCAGCTCCAAACCAGGATTTATTTTCACAGGGTGGACAGACTCTCACTAAAAAAATCCTGAAACTTCAGTTTCAACCAGAGTTGCTTAAATGAAACAAGCCTTTGTTTGCTGCCATTCTTCTTCATATTCCTATGTCCATGACCAGATGGACCACAGCTTACTGGGAAATGATTTGCAGGGAGAAGGTGCCAGGTTCAGTCCTCAGCATCACTACATATGACTGGGAAATACCCCCAGTCTGAAACCCTGGAGAGGTCAGTGTGTAGGCAGCCTGTGTCTACATATCCTGCTAAATTCAGCAGCAAATAATGTGTTTCAGCCTGGAATGCACCATCTGAGAAGATTGCTAATGATACTCCAATCCTGGCACAGCATGGGAAAGAGCCTCTTTTAAAAACACCTTGTATGTTTTAGCTAATGCAGCTTTTCCCTTTGATATACAGCTGCAGGGAATACAAAATCCATGTTAGTGCCATTTATTTTTTGGGGTGGTGGGGTGGTAAAACACACAAACAGCCTTACCTCTTATGTAGATATATATGCTGTTGCTGAAATTTGAGCACAGTTCACAGAAGGTTGACTTGAAACAATATGTACACCGGTAGATTCCTCCGTGGAATAGTGTGGCGTTGGCAATAGCAAATATGACCCCTTTTTGCCGGTCTTTCTCCATTACAACATGAAACAAAGATGGACCCACTTTTTTGTAGAGTTGGAACTCTACATCTTGGTAGCCTTGACTGTTACAGTGGATCATGACATTTCCTCCCAACTTGACGATATTACTGGGGCTCACTGAGATGGAAGGCTTGGGAAAATGCAGAGCTGGGTGAGAAAAAGAAGAGAACTGAGATTTGGAAGGTGGGGAATCTGCCGCAGGTTCCCCATCCTGGTTTAATGTATCGCTGGAGAAGGAGGTAGAGTGAAAGAGGAAGAAGAAGAGTTTGGATTTGATATCCCGCCTTTCACTCCCTTTAAGGAGTCTCAAAGCGGCTAACATTCTCCTTTCCCTTCCTCCCCCACAACAAACACTCTGTGAGGTGAGTGGGGCTGAGAGACTTCAGAGAAGTGTGACTGGCCCAAGGTCACCCAGCAGCTGCATGTGGAGGAGCGGGGAAGCAAACCCAGTTCACCAGGTTACGAGTCTACCGCTCTTAACCACTACACCACACTGGCTCACAGGACCTTTCCACTCCTGACAGTACCCCTTGGGAGAACTACACACACACACACACACACACACACACACACACACACAGTGTACATATATATGAGAATGCTAGAATTTGTGGGCTTCCCATGAAGCTGAATGGTGGGAGATTCAGCACAGGTAAAAGAAAGGACTTCTTCACACAGTGCATAATCAAACCGTGGAACTCATGGAACCCACAGGAGGCAGTGATGGTCTCCCACTAGGACAGCTTCAAAAGAAGAGTGGACAGATTCCTGGAAGAGAAGACTACTAGTCACAATGGCTATGCTCTGCCTTCATGGTCTGGGGCAGATGCTACAAATCACAGGAGAGGAGAGGATTTCTGCATGTGGGTTGCCCATTGAGGCATCTGTTTGGCTACTGTGAGAACAAGTAGCTGAACTAACTAGATGGCCCATTGGCCTCTTCCAGCAGGACTCTTCTTTAGTTCTTATGCTTTTTAGAAGAATGTGTATAAACTGTCATTGAAAGAAAATCAAGGTGGTGTACAGTAAAATCATTCAGAAACACCATAAAACTTTCAAATCTTAAAGTTATAAAAGCATAAAATCCAGAACAAATGACCAACACTGAGTCAACTTAAGGTAAAGGTAAAGGGACCCCTGGCCATTAGGTCCAGTCGTGACCGACTCTGGGGTTGCAGCGCTCATCTTGCTTTATTGGCCAAGGGAGCCAGCGTGCAGTTTCTGGGTCATGTGGCCAGCATGACTAAGCCGCTTCTGGTGAACCAGAGCAGCGCACAGAAACGCCATTTACCTTCCCACCGGAGCAGTACCTATTTATCTACTTGCACTTTGTCATGCTTTTGAACTGCTAGGTTGGCAGGAGCAGGGACCAAGCAATGGGAGCTCACCACATCGCGGGGATTCGAATCGCCAACCAGTTCAGAAACACCATAAAACTTTCAAATCTTAAAGTTATAAAAGCATAAAATCCAGAACAAATGACCAACACTGAGTCAACTTAGTTCTCTAAAATGTTTGGTGAAACAAATGTGTTTTCAGCATACTGAAATCTATCGAGATTGTAGGTGCCTGTCTGACATCAGTAGGAATAGTGTTCCAAATTGCTGGTGCCTGTACACTAAAAAGCCTTGGTTTGCATAGATTAGAAACTATACTGCATTTTCCATAGGCCATGGCATCTTTTGTCTTGGCATAGTGCACAGCTGCATAAGGACCCAGGAAGGAGACACAGACAGACTCTCTTCCCCTCTCCTTCAGCCCCCACAGCTGGGCTGCTGCAGTGGTGCTGCTGCCACATGGTAAGGCTTCAAAGGGAAGGATGGCAATATATTTGTGAGCTCAGAAAGGCTGAGAGGGAGGATGAGAGGGAAGACAGGAATTCTTCCCTGGCTCAGATTTTAGTCTGAGCCAGAGAAGAACTTAGGTTTCATAAATTCTCTTCTATTTTTATTTCCCCCCCAAAGCTCATTTCCAGACTCAAGTTTAGAAAACTTCATGTACATCTCTAAATTTGACTCAGCCAGCTCTCACCTCTTATCTTGACCTTTACTCTGTCACTTAAAGGTGAGCAGCTGTCGCCAGAGAAAGAGTTGAAGCAATATCGGCACCGGTAGTTCCCACCATCTGATAGTTTGACATTGGCGAAGAAAAATGCAACCTCATTCCACTCTGACTTCTTGACCACTGAAGCATGCAAAGATGAATCCAGTTCTCTGAACAGAACAAATGTTGCTTGTGCATAGTCTTCACTGCGCACCTTGCAGCGGATGGTAGCATTGCCTCCCAGGGGGACAATTTTACTGGGGACCACTGAGATGGAAGGCTTGGGATAAGATTGTCCTGGGCAAAAAAAGAGAGCAGGAGATTTACAAAAGATCAGTAACAGCAGCAACCTCCCACAACAACAACAAAAACCCAACAACACTCCAACCCAAGAGTCTTTTCAACACCTTCACTTTTTGTAGCTGGAGTCAGGGGGGAAAGGCCTGCAAGGCAGGGAACAATTCTTCCAGGAATCACAGCCAAGATGGCCTCCTCATTAATTCTTCAAGAAAATTCATCAGCATTATTGGGTTGGAGAAATGCCTTTCAAAATCCAGAGAAGTACGAATTTCAAAGAATGACTGTGTTTTGGTTCACACATGATTTGAAGAAATGTGAATTATTAGACAGATTTAACACAGTTGACCAAGTTTCCCCCCATCCCTATACCCAGACTAATCTGTAGGTTCTTTCAGGTGAGGCCTTGGGATCTGGGTTGTCCAATATCCACAATCCACACAGGGCTTGTGCCAATTTTGGTGCATTTTGCTGCTAGTCCAAATAGACTAGTAAAATTGATATGAGTGGCACAGCAATAGTGGCAAAACACAAAGCTTGCCAACTGACCAGGAAGTGGGAGAGAAACAGCAGCGAGACCTTTAACATAGTGGTGTGGTCTCTGAAGAGTGCATAGATCAAGGAAGGTTGGTAGATCTTAACTTCTCATGCATTTGTAAGAAAAAAATAGATTTGGTTAGGAAAAGGCATGCCATTTAGCTTCTATTCACATTCACATTCATTCTGATTACGAGATATATTAATGTTCTTTTGTCTTGGACGTAGCTCACCTTTCAATGTCTTCCCAGTCAGCCACCATCCTGGAAAAGCAGATGATTCCATTAGTGGAAAGATAACTGAGCAACAGAAACTAGTATCCCGTTCTCCGATCCTTCCACCCTCCTATTTCCCCTCTACAATACCAACCCAAAAAGATGATGGAGAAAGAAAACTTCATGGTGAGGGCTCTGCTGCTGGTAGATTGCCCTGTTTTGCCTCAGCGCCTTCCGTCAACTGACTGAAGATGCAGGGAATGTCTGCATCTTCTAAAGCCCAGCAGCCCTCTGTAACATCCTTCTTCCCTTACCGGTACAATTTCTCTGTGACTGATAGCATGGTCATCACCTCTACGCCACCTAAAAAACCACTCCCACCCCCCACCCCCCCGGTAGCTGTGCAGTCACATAATGCAAAAGATAAAAAGGAAGCAAAGGTGTCTCCAAAGCCAAACCCCCATTTGTGGCCCACCCTTGATACAGACTGTTTTGCCTCAAGAGGAACTCCTCTCTACATGTCTCACATCTCCTTTCTGACCTACCTTTTGAGGAAATGGTGCACAAAAGTGTTGGAGCCTGTGCCTCCTTCCTCTCCCCACCTGCCTCCACTAAAACGACTTAGCACTTAGTTGCTTCTATGGGTGCAAATGCTGTGCCAAGAGACACCCAGGGCTGTGTCCTTTGCCTCCTATGAAACCCTCACTTGCTTATGGTCTTCACCCTTCCTACACAGTGTTTAATGTCTATACAGTGGTACCTCAGGTTACATAGACTTCAGGTTACATACACTTCAGGTTACAGACTCCGCTAACCCAGAAATAGTACCTCGGTTAAGAACTTTGCTTCAGGATGAGAACAGAAATCGTGCTCCGGTGGCGTGGCAGCAGCGGGAGGCCCCATTAGCTAAAGTGGTTCTTCAGGTTAAGAACAGTTTCAGGGTAAGAACAGACCTCCAGAATGAATTAAGTTCTTAACCTGAGGTACCACTGTAATGAGAAGTGCTGGACCTTAAGTCATGGTGGGCCTTAACCTCATTCCCAAAGCCTTAAAGTCTCTTCTCCTTAGAAGGCTTAGGCCTAACTCTATCAGGCAAATACATACTCCTCCTCCATTACTTCACATATTCCAGGTGTGTGGGGACCTTGGGCCCTCCAACTGTCACTGAACTACACCTCCCATCATCCCCAACCATTGTTGTGCATCCCCTGCCATTGGCCATGCTTGCTGAGGCTGATGGGATTTGTACTTCAGGAGTAAAGGCTCAGTAACAACAACAACAATTTATTATTTATACCCTGCCCATCTGGCTGGGTTTCCCCAGCCACTTTGGGTGGCTTCCAACAAAATATTAAAATACAGTGGTCTGTTAAACATTAAAAGCTTCCCTAAACAGGGCTGTCTTCAGGTGTCTGCTAAAAGTCTGGTAGTTGTTCTTCTCTTTGGCATCTGGTGGGAGGGCGTTCCACAGGGCAGGTGCCACTACCGAGAAGGCTCTCTGCCTGGTTCCCTATAACCTCACTTCTCGCAGTGAGGGAACCGCCAGAGGGCCCTCGGCACTGGATCTCAGTGTCCGGGCTAAACGATGGGGGTGGAGACGCTCCTTCAGGTATACTGGACCGAGGCCGTTTAGGGCTTTAAAGGTCAGCACCAACACTTTGAATTGTGCTCAATAAACACATCACCTGGGTTTCTGATCCTCCTGTCTGGTCTCTGGTCCCAATACCTTTCAGTTGATCATACCAGCCAAGAAGGAGGATGTTGAAAGAGGAACTCAGGTTGAGGGTTCCGTAGCCAGCAACTCTCCATTGCACCTTGCCGTACTGTACCACGAATGAGGCTGCAGCTTCTCAAACATCCAGTGCTCTGTGACACATTTTCCCCCCCTTGACATGCAGATATTCTGTAGTCTGACAATATGGGTGACCTCAGTAAGCTCACTGACAAGCCACATCCCTTTTTAGGTTGCAACCACAGGTGTGGGGACAGGAGGGGGGAAGAGGCAGCAAGCAGCTTTCAAAACCACATTGGTGATGCTGCGGAGATTTAAGTGTATTCAAGTTCTCTGTTGCCCTACCATAAAAATTCCACATTGCTTTGTTGTTGTTTTTTAAAGGGTAGGAAAGTAAATGGAATGAAAAGTGGGGGATGAACAAATGATTTATTTCCTATTTATTTTCATTGCATTTATATATTGCCTTTCTGCCAAGGCACCCAAGGTGGTTTACAGTTTTAAAATATTAAAATAAATAAAATTTACTGTTTCACTAAGATTTGGCTATACGGTCGCACCTTGGTTGTCGAATGCCCTGGAACTCGTACGCTTTGGCTCCCAAACGCCGCAAACCCAGAAATGATTGTTCCAGTTTGCAAATGTTCTTTTGGAACCCGGACATCCGACAGGGCTTCCGAGGCTTCTGATTGGCTGCAGGAGCTTCCTGCAGCCAATCAGAAGCCACAATTTGGTTTTTGAATGTTTTGGAAGTCGAATGGACTTCCAGAACGGATTCCGTTCAACTTGCAAGGTACGGCTGTATTCATTATGGCCTGGTTCACATGGCATGGGAAGCCAAACTATGGTTTACCAAGGCCATGTGAACATGTGTTCGAGAAAAAGAAAATAAGTGAAATTCCAAGTTGATGTCACTGAGTTATAGAGCAGGAGAGTGTGCAACTGCGGGCGACATTCGTTCAAAATAAATATAGAAGTTCACAAAGTGACTGTGTCTGGTGTTGCAAATAAATTTCACCACCACAGTGATCTGGAGGCTGGAGCAAGTCTGGAGGACAAGTGCCAAGATCAGGAATAAATGGACAATTCTCAGAATGGAAGCATGCAAGAAGTGGGGTTCTCCGACAATCTGTGTCTGGGCTGGTACTTTTCTAACTCATTCATAAATTGTCTAGAGTTGCAGATGAAAAATGAGGCAGCCAAGTTTGCCGATGACACCAAATTATTTGGTGAAATCAAAAAGTAGTTGTAAGGCACAGCAAAAGGATCCCTCCAAGCTGAGTGAATGGGTATTAAAATGGCAAATTAAGTTCAGTGTAAGCAAGTATGAAGTGATGCATATTGAGGCAAAAAAATAATAATAATCCTAACTTTGCATATACACTAATAGGATCTGGTACCTAACCAGGAATGAGATCTTGGGGTTGTGGTGGATAGCTCAATGAAGGACTCAGCCCAGTGTATGGCAGCTACGAAAAGCATGAATTCCACGTTTCAGATCATTAGGAAAGACTTGAAAATAAAACCCCTTATCACACTGCCCTTATACAAGTCTATGGTGCTAACACCACTTTTGGAGCACAGTGTTCAGTTCTAGGTGCTACACCTCAAAAAGGATACTGTAGAGCTGGAAAAGTTTCAGGAAAAGGTAACCAAAATCACCAAGGGGTTGCAGCAGTTTCCCCGTGAGGAAATGTTACAACCTTTGGGGCTTTTCCTGCTGCTACATCCCAGGCAACAACTGCAGCAATCTGGGGGGAATAACTATCTTCTAAACGACAACGTATCAACTGGGGAAATGTTATGCTTATAGCAGCAACAACTTTCTGGTTGCCTCCCCGCCCCCTAATAATAATAATAATAATAATAATAATAATAATAATAATAGAAGCAACTGGCTGTTTGTGAGGATTCCTGACCATTCAGAAAAACGGGCTGACGCTGACATCACCGCAGCTGTAAGGATTTTTACGCAGGGCTTCTTCCTAGCCCGCTCCACATATTTCAATTGGTTCCTGCAAGTATATTTTGTAGAAAATTGGGAAGGCTGGAAGCGATTACGGAGTTTTAGAAGTTGCTTTACTAGTGCGTTTTCTCCCACTCTGCATCCGCTTTAAATCTGATCAGCGATGCCTTGTATTTATTGTGTAGAGGGACAGATCCACTTGGGGGAGCTATTAGTCTCTCTGACAGGTCGGGCGAGACAAGGGCTGGTTTAAATCACGGTGACGGGCGCAGCGCTCGCTAGATGGCGCTGCGCCTTCCACGGTCCTCTTCCCCCACCACCTAGCCCTCCCCCCCTTTATTTCCCCAACCATCACTCCCCCCTCCCCAATATCCCGCGCGGATAAGCCCTGATGTTCTGCACTGCCTCCCTGCACATCATTCCCCGACATCCATCCGTGTGCCAGCATGGGGGGCCGGCGACCAGCGCGGTGAGCGGGGTTGGGGTTGTGGGCGCCCCGCGTCGGAGGGATGGGGTCCCCCCAGGGGTATCGAGCTTCGTGGTGGACGTTCCTCTTGCACCAGGCGCCGCACATCAACTTCCAGTTTGAAGCCGTGGGGAGCGAATTTGCCCCGGAGGACTGGGGGTATCAGCAGGTGAGTCCCACGACGATGCCCAGAGTAGGCATGGGTTTGCGGGATCTGTGGGGTCAGCGAGCCAGGCAGAAATCAGGCAAGGCTGTGGGAAAGATGAAGTGAATGAGAGAAGCGAGAGAAGGAGGACGGGGGCAGGCGGGGGCGGGAGGAGAAGGTGAGGGAGCGGTGGGGGGGGGGGTGGGGGTGGAAAAGAGGGGAATGGAAAGGGCTTTTGAATGCACGGAATTAAGATGTGCGCCCATAGAATTAAAATGCGTGCGCGCAGGCAGAGCTGTTTGGATGGAGGGAGGGATGGATGGAGGAGCAATCAGGACGGGATGGCAAAGATTAAGGGTGGGAAACAAGGGGGAAGCAAGACGGGTAGGGAAGGAAACCAGGGTGCAAAGATGTGGTCCAAAGAAGAGGAATACCTGGATGGAGAAAATGAGAAGAGTTGAGGGAGAAGGCGGAGATAGTGAGCAGCGGATAATGTAATGTTAAAGGAGGGAGGGAAAGGAGCAGAATGGGGGTGAAAGGGGGACTTGTGAGAAAGGGAAGGAGAGGTGAGGAGAGGTAATGGGGCAGCTGGTGAGAGGGGGGTGGGCTGGAGGAGGGGGGAGGAAGGATGGGGGAGGGAGGGAACCTGACAGGATGCTCTGGGAAAGATGGAGGACCAGATCGAGAGATAAGGGAAGAAGGATGGGGCTGGAACTGCACACAGAGCGAAAGAAGAGGATAATGTGGGACAGGAGGAGACA